CATATTAAACAGATGTATATATATAGTACTCGACCTCTACTATACAGACATATAATCAAATTAAATTAATGTTGTGTAGTTTTAATACACGAGTCAAAATAAAAAAGTGGTGCGAGACTTATGACGTTTACTGTAAAATAGTATGTTTAATGTTTTTGCACTATATTTAAATAATTAGAAACTTTCTACCGTTTACAATAGAAATTCTTTAGAAATTGTTCTTATTGATACATCTGAATGAAAAAGTTGTTTTTGTACTAGTTCGTGACTACTATGATGACAAATGTTTTTTGTTTCTACACTTCAGAGCATAGAACATATGATGAATTTGTTTACTCTTAACAACTTCTTACTAAATATACCTGCTAATCTGACTCGAACTTTTCTTGAGACAGCTGTTCCATATTGATTTGTTGCATTACATTGATACCATCCTTGATCGATAGTTTGTGCTTGTGTAAATATTAACGTTCCACTATCACTTGCCATAGCAACACGATTATTTTGAGCACTTGGCTCATAAAATCGTCCATCTTTTGTCCAGGTAAAACTAGACATACAAAATCAAAATATTTCATCATAAAGTATACACCAAGTTATTTAAGAATAGAAAGATAAATAATACGTACACAGGAGCTGGACTTCCTTTTCCTTGGCATATTAATTCAATGTTAACACGAGGATCGAATATCACTTCTGGATCAGGTTCACTTGTTATGGTTGGTGGCATGGGAACTAGAAACAAAAGATAGATATTCTTATTAATATGTGAACTATTAACGAAACAATCGATGCACTTACTGCTAGATACAACATAAATAATTGAAAAAAAGAAGTAAATATTCACGATTTTACAAGAACGATTTGGCATGATTTAATCACATATAATTGTGAATACTTTAATCAGGAAAATGGTTTCGTTAAAGAGGATAGCGAACACGATAACATTGTAAACATTGTATGCCAAGAATAAAAAACTATTGTTTTTTTTTATCTGAAAAAAGCAAAATAATGATTAGATACATATTTATTGACAAATAGAAAATCAATATTATCTGTTTTATGCAATTCATCACTATTTTATCTTTAAAAATCTGGACTGCAGATAATAGAGAAAGAAGACATCTTGAAAAAAAAAGAGTAGCTAATCATAGTGAGAATGTTGTACATATGTACACTAATTATCTGACAGAGACAAACTTTCAGCTTTAGTAAATAATTTATAAACACCATCAATAGCTTTTCTTCTTCACTTTGCGTTTTAACGCATTGTTTTCATTAATGAAAACGAATATAAAAAACAAGTATAACTTTTTTTGCTAGTGTAATATAATTATCTTCAAATTCTAAACGAAATGAATCGATAAAAATAAATAAATATGAATTGATTGTTTTGTTTATGCAATACATTTGTTCTCGTCATTTTTTTCTTCATCTTCTATACTGAAAATTTGTGATAAAAAATTTTTTTGATAATTCTGTTAAATGGACAAGTAGAAAGAAAGATTGATAGTTTTCACATTCTTAAACCAAAATTAATAAAGGGAAAAATAATATGGTCAATCTTGTGAATATATTTTAAGTAACGTACATTTTATTCTATCAAGGTGGAATCAAATCTATTTACTAGAAAAATGCATTCAACCAAAAAGAAAGAATTCTTTTTTTTCTTTTCATTCTCGTGCTCGATCACTAATCATACATCTGATTATTAGAATAATAAATGTAGCAATAAAGAAATAAATCACTGAAAACTTAAACACCTTTTTATTTTTTTTATTTAAATTTACAGTAACACAATCATTAAAGCAAAGCTTTTTCGTTCAAAATTATAATATGAAAAAAATGAGCAAAAGATGTGGACTTGTACTACATAAATAGATTTTCTTTTTCAAAGTAATTTTTAGATAATAATTTTTTGATTGTTACTGCTTACTGTGACTACATATTTAAAAAAAATTATTATATTTTTTTTATTGAACATGCATATATACTTTAATCTAATACGCATCATGAAAACAGAAGTATTGAATAGAAAATTGAACGATGCAGGAATAGTATATGATAACCACTGTATCCGTCGATATTTTTTTATTTTTATTATGCCGAGTATTTAATGATGTCTGGTCAAAAATTGACTCTATGTGTCGTGACCATTTCTATCACGATAACTGCTAATTTAACTTCCTTGGTAAATCCGTTATTATTTCCGTCAAAAATCGCTTCAAACATATTAATCAACTTTTACACAATAATATAGTAAAGCACATCCTCTTTCTTCTAATATTTTTTTCTTACTAACACTATACTTAGCAATATACATTATAGAGTGAAAACATGCCTATATATTCATACAAATGTATATATATATATATATATAAAGAGAGAAATTTCTTAAAATAGAAGAAAAAAAAATTTAGATATTTTCTATTACGAGAAGTTTTTCTTTGAAAAAAAAACAAAGTTTGTTTTAATTTTCCGAGAGGAAAAAGATAACAGGAAGGAAGGAAAAACCAAGAATGTCAACATAAAAAAGTTGTTATTATAGTTTATATAATTGAAATATATAAAAAGTGTAAATATCTTTTATTTCAAAGTACACAGACATATTAATGTTTGTTTCTAGTACATAACTTATACTACGTGAGATGAAAGTTTAACTAAGAGAATTGTCAAAAACTAATTGATATATTATCACACCACAGTATATATATTAGTGTTGTTAGTGATCTAAAAAAAAAGGTCATCTGAACAGTTGGAAACTAATTCTAATTGGGCGGGTATAACATAGAGTGTCTATAAATAGAAATGAGTAGAAAAACAGCTTGAAACATTTTCTAAGAATTTCTAGGCAGATGAGAGTGAATTCAACTATGGATATATATATATATATATATGACTGGTAAAAAACAAAAATCTTAAAACAGAAGCAATCAATAACAATCAGAAAAGAAAATCAGATGAAATTAGAAAAAAAAATGTTATGTTGAAAGAATCATTTATTACTATCGACAAATTAATCTTTTTTTTCTATTTTGTTTGCGACATATCCTATTTTGAGAACAATGTCAATGTACATAATGTTTATGTTGGAAATGAGTCCGTCAGTAAAATTATCTAAGAGATTGACTCCTAGAAATAAAAATGATGCTTTCTAACAAGAAAAATAAATACATATGTGATGAAAAATGCATAAAAAAAAATTAGTCAAAATAAAGTCTATATGTCAATATACAAATGTTAAAAGAAAAGAGTTGCAGGATAAAGAAAATAGAACAAGACTTGTGGTACTATACCAGGGAATCGGATATTCTGTTGTCATTCAATAATACTATATGAACGAAAGTAATAATCTTATACTAAATAATAATGGATTTACGAAGTATAAGAAAAAATAGTAGAATATCTGTAACACCCCGACTATCTCACTCCTATTCGACAACACACAATCTATACGTCCGGTCTATCAACAAAAAATGTCGATTGGCAGCCACTCAACAGGTTTGCGCATACCAAATTATAGATGTCAGTCCGACAAAAATCTGACGATCCGTAAATTTTGTATGAATGTTTCGTTGTAAGATGATCCTCTTGTTATTCACCTTTTTGTTTTGTTTTTGCTTTACGTTGATGTAAGAAAGTAATAACACTTTTCTCAATAAAATGTCAAGACAAATGTTAAAGCACTGCCGAACTTAAAATAAAGCAGGGGGTCGTCTATCTATCATGCCCAACCAGTATCCCCCATCGAACCTTTGAATTAAGCTAATAGATTACCCTTTGAACTATGGATTTGACTTTGCAGCAATAAAATATTGAATAGTTATATACAAGACAGATCGTCACGGGCCGGAAAAACCTATGGGGGCCCACGGGTCGGGGAGGTTTCTGAATCTTATTTACGGGCCGGACCGGATCGGGCTGCAATTTGATGGCCCGCATGCGAGCCCAGCCTTTTCCCCAAAAGCCGATAAAATTACAAGATAACATCGAAAGGCAACACTCATATTAAATATGAGAAAAAGATACTATCTTCACTTGAAAATGTCGCTGACGAAGTTGACTTTCCTTGAGTATCTGTTCTAGATACTGCTAAAGCTGCTGGCTAGAGTTTCTGTTTTTTATAGTTAGTTTGTTCTCGGTCAGTTAAGTGATTGTGAAATTTTGAATGATGAAATTCCATCGATGGTAAATCGATTAATGCTATGTCAAAATATCGCTTATCTATTCAAACAGATTTCGGGGTACTCAATAATAAAACAGAAACTAACACCTGTCTATCTAAAATATAACTGGACAAACTAAAGAAAAATACAAAGAGATTAACGGATTTCATGTTTCTATAAACTTATATCTACTGATATATTACCAAAATCCAGCGCTTTTAATATCTTCTATGTTTCCATACTAATCTAGATTCTACGAGCTACCCTGCGGGCCGGCCCGTAGAATATAGAATGCATTTGGCCCAGCCCGTACGGACCGCTCCGAAAAATGTATGCGTTCACTCTGAACCGGGCCAAAACTCTTGAGCCCGGACATGGACCGGGCCGTAAAAACGTGGCCCGGGACAATCTCTGGTACAAGAGGATCCACTGCTGCATTCTCTTTTATACCTCTACGAGAGACCTAATACATGGGTTTTTGGCATGTCTACCGATTTTCAAAGCTCGGGCAAGCTTCTTGGAGCCGTTTGGTCGATCTGCCTCGATATTCTCTACTTATATATTCGTACTTAAAAAGTAAAAAAGACCTCTAGTACTTTTTTTCTTGTATACCATAGATGAATTTTGTGTAGGGTGTAACAACTGAGCACATTCCATCAGGCATGTTGACAGTTTGACTTCGACATATAACTCTGAAAAATTGCCGCACAGAATAACGGTTGCTGAATCAAATCGAAAAAAGATGGCAAATATTCGTCCAAAACTTATGGTTATAACAATCAGATAAATACTTTTTGAGTTAGAAAAAGCAAAAGGAGTAACTCACATTAGAAATTTAAAAATATTGAATTTGATTTTTTATCCGCAATCATATCATAAAAAGCTTTTTACTATGATATACTGGCTTCAAGTATACTTCAAAGTCACAATTTTTTACTTTTACAACAGAAATGTATCTGTTTTAAAACTATATTAAGTAAATAGTCTCATTATTCCAAAACTCACGTCATATTCATTTTTACAATACGTAGTGCATTCAAAAAGTACCCAGACTGATTTTATTTTACAAAAACGAAAAGCGTTGTAATGCAGGGTTTGATACCGTTTTGTAGTTCATACAGTCCTTAATCTACAGACACTACGAGTTCTGGTTGATTAGACACTTATGTGTTATAATAACAACTTTTTTAGATTACATTGTAACCAGTGATTCAGATTAAATAGCACCCTCAGTATTTTGTTTATAACTTTTTTTCTTTCATTCTCAAGAACCAGTCTTTTTTTGCAAAAGATGTGCCTGGAAATTCTCTATAAAAAACACATTGAATGTTTTCCTACCAAATGTAAAAGTGAAACATTATACGAATAATAGTGGGAAGCCCTAAAACGCGATATCTCTAATGGAGAAAACGGTTTCATTAAGGGCCCCCCTCAGAAATTGTGATTTTCTGTAAGAAAATCGGTTTTGAGATAAGCATATGGAAAGGTAGCCTGAAGTGTCTACTTTCAGAATCTATATCATTTTGTTTCAAAATAATAATATTTAATTCCGGAAGAGCTATGA